GAGGAGATGATCACAAACTAAAGTAGCCTTTGATTGGGAAACAAATTCTGCTCATCAGCCTATATCATTCAATATCATTCTTTACCCAGGTGGCTGTAACAGGTGTGGCTGTTTCTATAGGGGAAAGAGATTGTGATGAAGGACATATTTTGAAGTTAAAAAGAAACATATTAAGTGACAAATGTAAGTAACATCTAAGTTTCATTACTGATTCAGATATGGAAAGTTTGAGAGAAAATTAGAACTGAACATAGTTCTTGGAGTCACAAGGGACCTCAAACAAACCACAACAGGTGACAAGGAAGTGGCAAAACAAAAGATTTATTGAGCAGAACATCTGCATGTGTGTTTCAAACGTTGTACATTTTTCAGCAATCTTCTGCAAAAAAATTTCTGTGGTCTGAGAATGTAAACCCTGACAGAAAATTATTTAAGTTTCCATTTGCTGCTCACATGGTTATGCTGAAAGTGAGCTGTGGTGTTGTAACAGATGGTAAACACATCCAGCCATTCACGAAATACTAACAAAAAAATATGAATTATTATTAATTGATATCTTCCTCGACTGCTAATTATAAGGTCCCTATTGCTAGCTCTGCTGAAAGACACTGCAGACAGTTTGGTCAACAACAGATACACCTGGAGTTCTATGTTACAGTAGTTCTAATATTCCTCCAGTCTTATCCTCCAAAGTATTTCTTTTTTTTCCAGGGGTAGTCCTAGTTCAGTTATTGATTGCTGCATGATCTCTTTTCAGCCCATTCCCGCTCTTTGCACTCTGAAAATATGATGGAATCTGATGATTTACTTTTTCCCATTGAGGAGGTGGTGGACAATGCAGCAGTGGAGAAACTAAAATCAGAATCAGGTACTTTAAAGTGAAAGAAACTAAATTTCTTCTATGTACTTCTCAACTCTCACACCCAAAGATCATACACATCTACTTCATTGTAGCATGCTCCTGACCACAAATTTCTCAAGCCTAGTGAAAAATCATACACTTCTCTTTCTCATTTTCTTAAAATAGATTATGAAAGATAGGCATATATCAATGGGAGAAAGCAAAAGTCATAGTTTGTAATTGATTATAGTTTCCCCAATACATATGAATGTAAAGGAAAGAATACTCAGTAAATGTTTTGTTAGAACTGTATACATGCAGAATATCTTTAAAAATCATCTTCAGGGTCTTTTTTATATGATCCTGTTCAATCAAGCTTCATGAGTTTGAATAAAAAAATTAAAGCCCTGGCTTATATTTCAGACCATGTTCAACTACAGTGCTTCAATATTTTCAGCTTTGAATAAGTGCTAAAATATTTTGCATTACAGATCCCATTTCCAAAAGACGGCTTGATTATCCTCTATGTGTAAAAACAAAGGTAAGCTAGATAATTCATACCCGTTGGTTAATGGCTGTCATCCACCATGAAAATAAGTGATCTACTTTTCTATTTCAATGAGTGACTTTCATTTTGACAATTATTTCCATTCAAGTTCTTAAAAAAAAAAAAAGGAAAAAGAATTTGGTATTACAAACAATTTTGATGATATTTTTCAGCAGGCCCCATATCGCCCTGCAGTGGAGGTGACATCAATGTCCTACTTACCAAATACACAAATTGAATGTTACCTTGGCAACATCAACTTGTTCTTAATAAGAGAAAGTCATACAGTACGCGAGGTAAAGACAAAGCTTGGTTGCTATTTTAATGTTCCAATTTTTGTTTCAATATTATGATCCTATGGTGAATATAAAAGTAATCTTCAGAGTAATAAACTCTACTTGAGCAAAGTGAAAATAAGGCTTGAAAAAAATTCAGGCCTGTACTGGTCATTATGATGGTTCCAAATAAACTCACTGCTCAAGTATTGTTCATTACTGCAAAGATCGCTTTATATTCACTTCCTTATCCACAGTTCACATAATTATATGATTTTCATATATTCACAGTCAGCTATGATCTTATAATCAATTGTAAGTTCTAAACTTCATATTTCTCTTTTCAGAATGGTGGTTTAAATGTATTCATGCAAGCATTTGTTGCTGAGGCTCAAGCAATTCTGAGAGCACATGTCCTAGCCATTGGAGGAAATGCTCTGGTGTCCTACCAGTTAAATGAAATTGTTTTATTGGATAATCCTCATAAACATCAGGTGGAGTTAATAAATTTTTAACCCAATTATAATTGTAAACACAAGGCACATTGTCATAGTGAAGGAAATGTTATCACATCACAGTGAGAGCCACATTCTCAGGATGAAAGCAAATGATGCACCAGACAAGCTTGCTTGATGACAAAATCTTTTACTTTTATTGGTGCCATGACCTTTGACCCCTGAGAGTTACTAGCATCTGATAACTCCTTACAATATCACCTCTGGAAATATCACATTAAGGTTTTGAGATCAAAGGAAATCACCAACTAAAGAAGCTCTCCACTGTTCAACAAATTCTCCATGTTAGCACCTTAGCAAATGTGTAGAGATCAGTATTGAGAATGTGCATTCTGATGTTAGGGTGTAAAGGTTTAACATAGTTGTAATTGATTTTTAGGGACAATGCTTACTTAACATAAGTGGCGATGCTGTCAGGGTATTTTATGAGGATGAAGACATATTGGAGACATCAAGTCGAGGAACACCTCGTAAAAGAACTGTCTCATACTCGGAAGCCAATTCTCAAACACCAATCCATATTGTACGGCAGCGATCCGTCTCTGCCTCAGAAACTTCCACTAACACACTCATAGCATATGATCCATGCTATGGGACAGAAATATAGCACATAAAGCCTTGTAAATACCAAGCAAACTTAGAAGGGTGAAGTGGAGTTGGCTGGCTAAACATTCTGTTGTGTTTGCTCCTGGAACTCTTGCAAGATTAAAGGCTCTTGTGAGTCAGCTCAAGAAATGTTTTTTTTGGTGTACAAGATATAGACATGCATTGGAGAAGAAGTGGCAGCTTTGGAGTACTGAGAGAGTTACTTGGCAGGAGTACCATTTCAATTTGAAATATATTCAAAACTGGGCTAGCTTGCAACACAGAAGACTTTACATGAAAAATGTAGAAATTAGAGTTGTTTCTCTGGAACTGCCATGCATACAGCAGCAAAATTAACCTATTGACTCTGAAGCATTTTGCCTGCTTTTGCACAAATTATGACTTTTAGGAAACCCCTTTTGGTTGTGACTTCAAAGAACAATTATTTAGAGCCCCTCCAGATTTGTTGATTAAATTAAAAGTTATTTGCAGGCATTGAGATGATAGTTTCTTGTTAAGTATCATGATGATGAAATCTCAATAAAATCAAGATTAAAGATGAACATCACTGAAGTGTTTCCTTTGTGTATGTAAACATGCCTGCATATGGGATGACCAGAGTGAAATTTGTTGGGTTCACACCTAAAGAGCTTAACTTTGCTCTGTTATTGATCCCAAAAAGTTGTGCCTCTCTCTTAACCAATCAGATGCAAAACTAAAACCAATCACAACCTGATCGCCTGTGTTTTCCAGCACCTTAAGTGGTTTGTTTGCTTTTAGTCTGGGTTCTCATTGGTTCTTGATTTCCTTGTGATTACTTTAGTTTGAGTTTTTTGACACTCAATCAGGAAGAGCTCCACATATAAGAATAATTCAAACCAGAGAAATATGGCCAAACACAAGCTAAAAACAATCTTTATTTAAAAAAGTAAGAAGAAATAAATGTTTATCCTCTGGTAACTGTAATACTGTACAAAAACCATTTGATAAGGTCATGCAAGGCATGCTTTGGCTGTAATTTGATCTAATAACTGCCAAACATATCACTCTTTTAAACATATACAAATACTGTTTTTCATTTTTTATCACATCTTTTCAGATTTGTCTTAATTTATTAATTCTTTTTTAGTAGCATTTAAATTAAAAATTAAGACATGAATGTTGTTCAAGAAAATTTTGCATGCTGTGCATGGCTATGTTTTAGTCTACTTATTGACTAGTACACAGGAACCCCATTAAAGAAGTCACCAACGGGCTAGAACAAATTGGCTGTATTCACTCTTTACCTCCCATGAGTGACCAAGACAGAATTTCTCCTTACAACATCAATACAATATCAACCAGATAAATGATGAGAATAAGGAAAAATATCAATTTGGGATAATTAGTTGATCCAATACTAAATTCTCTGAACTAACATTTTGAGAATTGTATGGTTTACAGTAAGCAGAATAACAAATTTGATCTGGGAGTTAAAGGGTTAACAGGGTGTCTGTATTATTCTAGGGCCAAATTTCATACTTGCTTCTGGTTTTTCCAGAGCAGAAGTTTGCATCAAGATTTGTTTCCTTTCACATGTTTGTAAATGAAAACTAGGAGGAATGTTGCACTCTTGCTTACCAAATTCATATAGTAACTGGGCTGTTCCATTAGTAAATGACGGAGATCAATGAAATTGACACATCACAGGAACTTTGATTTTCCAAATCTAGGGCTAGTGACCTTAATAATTGGGGGGGGGGATTATGAAATATTCTACTGTTTTTGATTTTAGAATGTGGCCGTTGACCATATCAATGGGTGAAATTATGAGACCACTTTGCTGTCCCCAAAAAAAGGGGCCATAAGGTGGAGTTCTGAAAGGAAAGGAATTTGCTATTTTGCATTAAATATTGCAATGTAAGTTTATAAAAATAAATAACAAAATTGTTTAATTTTCATCTTCATCTCATATGTTAAGTATAGGGACTGTTGTCTCTCCTTGATTGCCATTAAATTTAGAGGTAGAAAATATTAACTTTTAAAAGATAATTGTTAATTTTGAATTAGGAATTTACAAATTTCTCGCTTTTTATTTATTTATGCTGAAGCTTTAATTCAGTCTATTCATTTATATATTGATTTACTGGTATTAGTAGTGTCTTTAGAAAAAAAAAAGATTATTTCTTATCATATTATGAAATGTTTATGGCCATAAATTAAAAATTGTTTCATTTTTCATCCCATATGTTCAGACAGGTATTAATTATTTGCTTTTCATCTTGATCATTGCAGTCTTAACTAAGGGGTTAAACAGGGACAAATTTCTTGCCTTAAAAAAATGAACAAAACAATAAAATTTACCAGGGCAATGTGGGTAATTGGTTGTGCTGTAATTATATCATACACTGATGAATCATTAAAAGAAAAACGATAATAATTCTGCAGTTCTTTTTATCCTACACTTTCAGATAGGTTTCTTTGTGAAGGAATGTTATCTAGAATGTCTAACTGAAGACGACTGTACCTTTCTCGATAACTCAACAACCCTAAAAAGCAAACTCCAAGACCAGAGACTGTTACCCAGTTCATCCAACGTACGTCAGACTGTGGCATCATAAAAGCCACATAGAACAAGAGTAAAACTACATTTCCAGTAGTAATTATAATTCCTCCAGCAATGCCTTCTCCAACAGGATAAATGCACTCCATGGCAAGCTCAAAATACAATGGCAATGTGCCATTGTACACAAACCCACCAAAAATGATTGAGCTGTATAGAAGTGGTTTTGTGGATGGCAAGATTCCTGCACAGGACAAACTGAAAATCAGCTGGGAAAGTGTTGATAAAATTAAGAGCACGGCCAGTATTTGTTTGGTTCTGTGTCTTATGTAATCTGCAAACCTACAAAATAGAATAAAACCAAGTGCCTGTGAGTTGTTTATTAAAGAATGGCATACAAAAAGGTAACTGTAATCTTAAAACTGCATGGACACATCAACTTTGTTGCTAGCTGCAAACTTCTTCAGCCAAGAAAAAAAAATTCATGGACTTCAGGATGATATGAAATGTCCACAACAATTTATGGTGATATTTGAATAAAAATGAAAACATCAGAGCAATTCAAATGGAATTTCTAAAAGAAAAGGTTTATATTTTTTGGAAGTTGATGGAGATGTTGGTGATGGAGGTGTGGCAAGCATGATCCAGTGATGAAATAATATCCAAAAAGATCATTAGACTGAATGCTTTGCCAAACCAATCATGAGCAAACAATATTTCTGTACCAAGGGTTAGAGGGGGAATGTGAATCCTATAAATATTCATTTTCAAGGGTTCAAGGCCCCCAACCTGCCCCCCACCCCTACCCCCCAGCTTCGTCACTAACAAAACCAAGAAAAGACATCCATAGGGGTAAAATGAATGCCTCCAAGATACCACACTCATACACACTCATTCCTATTGAGATTTGAAACACCATATTAGGAGCATGGTAAATAATTAACTACCTGGCTAGTGCAATCCCAGAAAACACCCCTGCCAAGGTAGCAGAACATCCCAGCCATCCTGCGGTAATGTCATCCACACCAAACTTTGCAAGGAATACGTCCAGCATCGACAACCATCCAAAGTAGATTCCGAATGTTAATCCAGTTAGTGTTGCTAACAGCCAGAAAGGCCGATTTCTTGTGAGGTTTCGAAATGAAGACTTAGTGCTAAGTCTCTGAGATGTGGAAGATGTGAGACTTGGAGGAAGTGGTGGTCTTGCTGGAAAATAGAGAAGGACGCAGAAAAAAACAAGCGCACATAGCCCAAGTTCAAAATACATATACTTTGTCAACTGATAATCTGCTAATCTTGTCAGTCTTTCAGGGCAATCAGAAGAAGATGAATTACTTGCATTGCTTGGCACAAACTGGTTTGGTACCATGGCAGGTCCAATGGCAAAAGACTGAGCAATACCAAAATACCCAGCTAATGTAGCAATTGCAGTGGCTGTGGTGCGTTCCCCAGGAGGAAACCAGGTTGCAGACACCAGGGGGGGTCCACCAATGGATACTGGCCCTCCAGCCATGATAAGGAACTGACCTATATTGATGACAATTGTCCTCACTTCCTTGTCATGAAATGGTATAACATGAAAGACCTTCCCAAGCACTGACAAAAAGGCTGTTAATAACACAGACACTCTCAGACCTACCAACAACAGAGAACCAATGTTATTCACAAAATTGGTTTTTAACACAGCCATTGCACAGCTAGTTTATACCATCCACTATCTCTGTAAAGGCATCTCCATAAGAGGGACACCTCTTTTAGACGGATAACAACACTTTGAAAGCATCTAAACAAGTGCTTTTTAAAATGAAAAATACTACAATACAGAAATGAAGGTGGTTAATATGACAGAAAAAGTGTTTTTTTGACAAATATTCCAGACAAACCTCCACAGAAAGTCCTAATCTTCCCATTTGGGCCGAATTTAAGATGAAGAAGGTAACCCTTCTCCCTGATCACATTATTGGAAAAGTCGCTCGGCCCAAAATAGGCAAGATGAGAATAGCAGAACAGGAACAATATAAAAAATAAATAAATAAAGCAAAATCCCTTGAATTAAATTAGTAGCCAAAGGTAGAGAGTTCTTCCTAACATCTCACAAGTTCAGCTTACGCAATCAAGCCCCTACCCGTCGTGGGCTAAAGGGAATCCGTCTCGATCTTCTTTTCCTAAGTGATAAAGTATATTTATGTCTTTCGAACGTTTAAAAGGGGGTGTCATCCCAGAATCAACCAGATTCTTTTCATTTTGAACAGTATCGGAAGTAACTGCAGAATATCCTGCCACTTCGGTCCACCTCATTCACATGGGTCGTGAGGCTTTCAATATTTCGAGGCATAACGCACTAGATGCTTTTCTTATTCAGTGACAAGTAAATGAGTGGCAGGGTATTCTGAAGTTTAGCCCAGTATCGTGTAACCCGCGTTAAATCTATGAAAAGATCTCACGAAGATTGTGATGGTGTTGTGGTGGTGTTGTATCGTGTTGTATTCAGTAATTGCGAAATATTTAACGCACAGAGCAACAAAAATCTTTTTGACATCAGATCAAGGCGTAAATAATCTTACCATAATACAATCGTAAGAAAGAAAATTCCGAGGTAGAAATGAGACAAATAAGTACCTTGACCTTGTATGTACTAGTTAGCTACAGTTCTCCAGAACCAAAGCACAAACCTTTAGAATCCATTAACCACGTTAGTGGTACCGAAGTCACTATGAGTGAAATTGCAGCCCAGGAGGAGAGCAAAAGGATATCAAAGTCTGTCCAGCCAAAAGCAAGTTTGGTCGGTTCTTGAATAGGCGCCCAGGTATTCCATGCCATGTTATAGACGTACGCATTTGCTGTAAAAACGAATAACACATACCACCTCCGCTTATAAACTTTAAATCTTATTTCGGTTATTGAAGACGTTGATGACGAAGTGAGACAATCGCCGTTTTCCAGAAGAGTGGTTCTCTCGTTCGATTCCTCCATTTCTGTAAAGTACAATACTGTGCGGAAGAAACCGAGATGAAATGTGTTTTGTGTCTGCCGAAAAACTAATGTTATACGAAACAACACACTTATTGCGTCATATCCGCTGTGGAAGTTTACGTAATGCAACTGTCACACAATACCACTACGAAGCTGGTCACGCTGAACGAGTACCTCCCGATCGAGGACGAAAACCTGAATCAACCAATCAGGAGCCCTTATAAAGGGCTCCTGAAAGGACAAGTTTGCCGGTTAAAGTAGCCTTACGTGTCTTCAGGTAACTTTATTTAGCCTCGACTTCAAGTAGCATTTGATCCAATTCTAAAAGCTCGCGTAAACATGTGATAACCTGTTCCAGGTTCTCAGGCGAAGGAGCAAGCGAACGGCACATGGCGCTTGTAGTTGTCAGGGAAACGGCTACGGCTCATTTCATATTTTTTTATTGCCTGTCCTAGTCCAATTTTCACACACCTTCCCTTTATGCTTACTCAAAGTTATGTCAAGATGGAATATTTTAGCTGAAGGTGCAAACAAAAACGAACAGACGCAATGATCAGTTTTGAGAGCCAGATCTGAAAAGTTATAATTAGTCTTTAAGTGATCTCAAATTAATTCCATGACAGAGCTTACATATAACTGTTTTTTTAAATTGAATGACCTTGTAAAAGAGCAACAAATCTATGCAATCTGTAGGCTGATAATTTACATATGTCAGTTCCAATTTTCTCAGTAGGTGCCTTGCTCGTCATTGTTCTTTTACATTAAACTCATTCATGCTCTAGCGCGTCCGCTAATCTATTCAATGCGCAACCTCACAGAGAAAACAATACTTCGGTTAATACTAACGTTATTTAAATGACTGGTCCGTTAATTACCGGACAGTAAAAGAAAACTTGATTTTAAAGGAACATTGATTGATTTTTGGGTTTCATTAAAACCGTATTAGACTAATTAGGAGGATGTGTTGTTTTCTTTGCTAGTTCCACTTGGATGAGCGCATAACACCACGACAAACATAGGTGTAGGCCGGAATAATCGCGGCATGAATAATTGCCATTGTGGCGGTTCGATTTGTTTTCAGAAGGAAGGTGGCGTATCGTGATTTTGTTTATTCTCGCCAAGAACTGAAATTTTTGTTCGATGTTGTGCCAAGGTCTGTTGACAAGGAAATATCACAATACACTGACAAAAGCACTTCACGGCTATCAGTCAAAAACATGAAGCATTGACGTATGGTGAGCTGCATTTAAATGTGTACTCTTGGTGTAGTTATGCAGCACGAGCGTAGTATCAAAGACAACACGGTAAACGTTTCAACAAAAGTAGAGAAAATACTCGATCAAGGCGAAAAAGGACCGGAGACAGTTTTTACTAGGACCAAACGCGGCCGAGTGCGTTTATTAAGAAGATGCACATCACAGAAACATTTGTTGGATGAAAATCAAAAGGATGGCGGCGAGGGGCGAAACAGACAAGACTCAATTATTTCGTCCACAAGTAGCGGTTTGTTGTTTGTGAGGCCGCTCTCTAGCTCTACCAAAAAGCAGGGCGCACCCGCGCTGTTTCCCCGCCCCAAATCAAGTCTCATGGAGGCGTCAGGAACTTCAAAAACCAGGAAAGCAAGTGACTCTAACTCTGATCGATTAACGAGAAGAAGAAGCTCAAGCTCGTCGTCGTCAAAAACCTCAGTGCCGTCTGTGGTGAGGAGATCGAGCTATTTTAGCTTACAGGGCCTTCGACGAACAATTGTAACTGACCAAGGAGAAGCGAAACAAATGAAAAAGAAAGGGTCTAGAGAAGATTTCGGCCGGTTTTTTAAGGGAATGGTCACAGTAATAAACGAGGAGGAGATGGAGGAGAAACGACAACTGGTTAGTTTTAGCATCTCCTCAATTTAATCACTTGATTAATAGTTCTGGTTTTTGATAACAAGCTTTATTATGCGTTGCCACAGAATTAATGCGTGACCCCGTCCTAAATAAATCTTCCCATTCTTCTTTTGGATTGAGCGCATAAGGAGATGCCGAGTGTCTCTAAAACTGTTTTCAAGGTCATTTTGAAAAAACATTTTTTATAGGATACGAAATATTGAGAAATTAGGCAAGCTAAACATTTGGAATAAATTGGTTTTAGCAACTGAGCTGATGATAAAAATTGACCACCGTTAAGAGTTTCTTAAGCTAACGACGTTTCGAGCGATAACCTTTCGTTAGAGCGACGAAGTGGCCAATGTACATTATCAAATCAGTTGTTAAGATCGAATTATCTTGTAAATGGCCCTTGCCGACTCAGCACGACAGTTTCTTTGGAAACTTACCCACTTTCTTCATGTATTTTACATGCAGAAGTTTTCTTACACCTATAGCAGTGCCTTAAATTTCACTGCCGCTGATTCCCTAAGTGTTTCCATCGCTTTTTGACAGCTTTCCAATACCTTTATGGTTAGATGAGCATCTTAGTTGACATTTGTTTCAGCACAAATAGATCTATGTCGGAGTTTTTATTGACATTTGATTCAACAAACGGAGGCACCAGTTAATAGGCTACGCTGGCCTTTAATTACTTTTTAATTGCCTGCGAAGTTTGGGTAACCAACAAAAGACAAAACATAGTGAGTAAACAGAAACCTGAAATACGACAGAAAATGTACAAAAAGCGTACAAGAGTAAATCCTTTCGTACTTGGAGAGCTTTGATTTTAAGGAATCTCTGCATCGCATGGCAAATTCCATTGTTCGTTCTGCGTGGTGGTTAAAGCATTTTGTGATTATCACAGCAAATGCATTCTCCATCATTTCATGTTAACAAAGAACAAGAAAACGCGCGGTCGCTATTTTGAAAATTATTTTTTTCAGTACAAAATAACAATCAATCACAGACGCTTCGTTGATCACTGGAGTGCTACGTCGTTCCTGTTCTGGAATGATATCCTACTGGGCAGGATACCAGGCTTCTGATGTGCAAATGCGATGTTTGACTTTTTGTTACAAGCAGGATGTGTATCAGAGTCGTTGCTGTTTGATAGAGTGTGGTAAATCCACCAAAACAGAGAAATCACAATCGCCAATCAGAATAATGGAAAATATAACGAGAATCCAATTAAAGCCGAAACCAAAAGCAAGTGCTAGCAAACGGCTTAAAGCGCGGAAAACCGCGAATGACCTAGTCGAGATCGATTCGTTGAGAAAATGAGGCGAGTTTTCTCGAGCAATTGCCGAGTAAAATAAAATAAAACCAAAGCAATCCTGAAATACTTTCGGCACTCAATATAAAGTTACCCTATTGTAGACTGGATTTCGTATGACCGTCTCCAAGTAATCACGTGAAAGGCAAATCATACAAAATAACTACAACGAGAAATCAGACCAGATACTAGCAAACTGCCTTGCACTCAAGGCACGGAAAAAGCAATCGCGAATTGATTTTAGTTTTGCATCTAACTTGCGATCAGTCCCTCCTTTTCGCCGGGGTCCATCTCGCAAGTAAAAAAAAAGTAAAATAATGGGAAAATAACAAGAGCCCAAGTAATGGGCTCCTGGAAAATAATTGATGTTAGCGCGCCACACTGAATTCTTTTGGTGCCCTTTCAGAATTCCGCGCTGCGCGCTAACGTCATTTATTTACTCGCTGATCTTTTCTGACTCACGTGACGGACTTCCTCGAAAAAGAGGGAGTACTTGTAATCTGCCGAAAAAAGTGGTGAACGTTTCTAGACCAATCAGAGAGCTAAGTATAGGTGAAATCAAAGTAATTCTGAATTACTTTGGATTCTCAACATCAGTTTTGTAAAGTGGTAAGTAAGTCTCTTTTCATACCTTTTTTTTTTTCATCTTTTCAGGCTCTTTCAAGGTTTCGCCGTGCTGTATATCTGATTGGCATTTTCAGTTCCTTATGTCTTAGCATCAGACGATATGCTGACCAAGACAAATCTCGTCAGTATGATTTTTACTACATTAGAGACATTTTAATGGGAGACGATGACGGAGGAACTACAGTGAAGGAAGCCCCCATAACTTTCAACAAAAACCTTTTCTCTAGGGATAACACGGTAAAACAATCCTTGTATGGCAAAATTGTCCCCCTTGTAACAATTATGTTGTATGAAAAGCTTGCGGTTAATAGTCATCGTGGTGATTACACACTTCTATAATGAGGAATATTTGTGTGTCTCACGATGTAGTCGTTTCCGATGTAGATCGCAATGTTTCGATTGCATACTACATGCCTACAACTTAGGTAGTCTGCGAGCAAGCCGTTTTCATAACTGAAGCACCTCGGCACGAGTGTTTCTTCGCCCGCGGGAAGGATTAGGCCTTGAGCAACGCAAGCCATTAAGAGATCTGTAAGGGGCTTAGGGACCTCTCCCCGACTTGTCTCAAATCTTCCCGCGGGTGGAGAAACGCACACCCTGCAGCGCTAATAATAAGGCCTTTCTCGCAGGCTATCTTCAAGCGATAAGGGTTGCAATCCTTTTTAGGCAATCTAAATCCCGATTTTACGATCCAAAATTCAATTTTCGTTCCATTAAGGACCAAACCAATCTAAGATTGCAATCTGAGCGATCTACCTCCGAACTTCGATCATTCGGATAGGTATCTCAATCTGGTTTCAGATGTTTGTTCCTTTTAGCTGAACCAGCCTGGATGATCTTGATCGTGCTAAAAAATTAAAAGGACATGGCCGACACCAGAGATAAACATGGCCGGTCAATACGTGAATTTTCAAGTCATTCTAGGTTCTTGACAAACTGCTTCGTTCCTCCAGAAATCTTTGTGGTTGTGGAAGTTGAACTTGGGTGTTGAGAGTAGGTAAAAAAAAGTTGGAAATTCGCACCCTAAAGTCCGTAAAACGGCATCTATATTTTCAGTTACGCAACGTAAGCATCCGTCCGAACTGCAACATTTCTGTACATTTTGTTATGCTTCTCAAACATCATAAAAATGGGCAAGTCATCTACTTTCAAGATGGTTTCCCTTTTTTTCTGTATTTCCTTTGCAAACTCTTCTCGTAAGGAGTGAAAGGCTAAAGTCGACTGGGTACGCATCACCTCTAGCAATCAGTAACGATAAGTAGTGCCAGACCCTCGGCAAACCTCTGCCCTCCCGCCTCAAATATTAGGGACCTTTAGCAGTTATGAAGGCAACGCCAATGAAGACGTCGATTTAAAAATATATACATATTTTTAGTTGGAATTTCGCGAATGACAGGATGTGCTTACCATCTGCTATGGCGCCGTAAGTTAACCTCTCAGCATAAGGTATGAGAGCGGCGTTGAGTTCCAAATGGAAACTTAAATAATCTGCTGTCGGGATTTCCTTTCTAGGACCACGCAAATTCTGATGATTTCACGTTGTTATTTTGCAGAGGACAGCTAAGAAATGTACCCAGTTTTAAAACGCACGTGCTGAGCTATTGTTCTGCTCATTAGATCTTTTGTTTTGCCACGTTCTCGTTGCCGTCGTCGTCGTGGTTTGCTAAAGTGCTTATTCCCGCGGCCGGAGAAACGGGCTTCCTGCAGCGTTATTAATAAGGACGTGCTCGCAGAATATCTTCCGGCGAAAAGTTCGACTGGGTACGCGTCATTTTATGAACCACCTGCAGAAGACTCACAATTTGCAGTCGAAACAATGCAATCCACATCAGAAACGATTACAACAGGAGGCAAACGATTATATCAATTACAACGATCAAAATCTTTGATCATCTTGAAATCTTCCTCAACCAAATTTACAATTTACCTTCTCTCCTAATCTTCCTGCCCTAATGACACTTTCATTGGTGCTGATCCTCGTACTATTCAGGACATGAACATGAACCAATTCACTCTCGAGTTCTCTGCAGCTCATGTAGTTGATGGGGCGTACGATTAGCAGCCTGTGATTCGTGCGATATCGGTTTTTCGCTTGAGGGGTTACGTGGCTAGGTGGAAAGTTTTTCCCAAACATTTATTATCTTAATATTTTTCTACAGCTTCATTTTCCATTATGGGCTCGTTTGATTTGTGCGAAGAAGCCAGAACATAGAAGCGAGGCTGAAATGAACAAGCTTGTAACACTACTGCGTGGCATGAAGAGCTTTGGAAAGTTTTCCCGTGAATCACAGCGAAACTTGTGTCAAACAATGACCTATGCCTGGTAAGATTTTTATTTTAGTGCGTTGGAGCGCTTTTCGCTTCTCGTGAAATGAAAATGGCGTAATAACACATGACGACCACTTAGAACAAAGCAAAATATCTCTGGGTGTCAATGAAATTAATCAAATCGAGAACTGACGGCCTTATGCGCAGGAAAACGCGAATGACCAAATCGCGTTTGGTTAAGTTGTATATCAGATGGATCTGGAGAGTAGCGCTAGATTTCGTCACACTATGAGCAGAGCAGAGTAGAACAAAACCTGTGTAGTCACAAGTTAATTCTGACGCTGAGCTTGTAGTATATTTTCTATACCTTAGGCTCTCACATAAAATAATAGCCTGAAAACTATTTAGCATGGTTTAAGAACACGTTTCAGTTCTATCTTAATAAAGACAGAATTCCTTGCAATTCTATTCAATTACTATTTTGATAAATCCAACTTACCTGGTGTGTATCTGTTCATAGCTATGATCGCAGAAGGCTTATCGTTCGACAAGGACACCCGGGATATTGTTTCTACTTCATAGTCTCGGGCTCAGTCTCCGTCACCATAACTCGGTTGGACTATAAGACGGGGGTCTACGTAACAAACACCGTGGATGTACTGGAGAAGAACGAAGCCTTTGGGGTAAAGTTCCTTATGTAGCTGTTATAGAATGTTCTCTTCCTGAATCCCACATTGATCAGTAGTGTTTATAGGTTAATAGCTGTCTAAAAAAAGGAAGGTTTCACCAATTCCGCGAGATTACTTTCTTGTACAATAAGAGAAAATCAAACTAAGAGAAAGACCCAATTGATTAATTCTAAACTCAAGGGATCTGATTTCCTGAGGAATGTTACGTGTACCTCGAGTGTTGCTTAAATATTTTGGTATAAAACGTGATCAATGTTCCATTTAATCACACGAAGCTTTCGTCATTTTTTATCCTATCGGCAGGAAGAACGCTTGTCTCTTTTAGAACATTAATAACCCACCTCACCATCGACGTCTCTGTAGTTTAGACTTAAAGCAGCGGAGAGCGAAAACCGAAGATCTCTTGTTTGACCCCTTTGGGTTGACTAAGATTTTTCTCTTTTTCCTTTACTTATGACAAATCGAAGAGCACTGATGTCTTTCCTTTAAAGGCTTCTTATCTCAAAATGTCCCTGGGATCTCCTAATTGATTTAGATGTAATTCGAGACGGGCCCCCCTGAGGATCAGGGCCCATACAGTTGATTGAGTCACTTTGCTGAATCTTTTCTCAAGTGCAAACGGTATATTGCCCCTCTGTCTCCGTCTGAGGCCAGGAAATCTCAAAGATGGATCTCATACAAAACAGGGTGCCGAGTATTTGACTACGATGTATCCCATTCACGATTTCAGGACGGCAAATAAAACAAGTCTTTAAATTTTCCTTTCTTCAGGAGATAGCGCTCATTTCAGAGGAAGCAAGGCGAACGGCAACAATCATATGTCGGGAAAGAGTCGAGGTACTTGTGGTAAACAGGGAGACCATCTTGGAATACTGTCCAGACGTGTTTCAAAGAGAATACGAAGAAAAACTGCAAGTTATGAGGTAACCTCAGCTTACACTTTTCACCTTTCAAGGTCCTTAGTTTTTCAGTACCCTCAGTTGCGGAATCAACACTCCAACTGTATCGTCCTCGTAAAAAGCTCTTAATCAACAATTATTGACTTCTTCCGTCCTTTTTTCCCTTATTTTTCTCCTTGGTCCGAATCTGGTGTCACACCTATGGGCCTTGTTCGATGTTGTATATCATTGCAAACTTTTGCTCTTTTGGGTGGAAACCTAACCTTAACCCTGTAACTCCTAAGATTTTATTAGTAATTCTCCTTACTGTCTGCCATACAGTTCTTGTGATGTTAGTTTGGAGAAGTTGGTAGTGGGTCAACTTATTATCCCCTAATTATCAGTTATCCCCAGCTATCCCCAAAGGGATCTGAGGATAACGGAGGGATCAGAGGGATCTGCATACGTAACTGAAACATGCAGCGTCTATTTGGTCTTAACTGAGACCTCGATCAGCAGTTGGATGCAACATCAATACCAGTTTACCAGACCTAACATTACTGACTTGACAAGAATTACCTTAATTTCATAGAGTGTTCGGTCTCAATCTGATGCTCGTTCGTGAAAGTATGTTGCCAAATACACGAAGACGATTCAGTTCTCTCTTGACGCCAGCCTTAACTAGGTCCAGCACATATTCAATTAAGTTGTGAGGCACATACCATTATTGGAAGATTATAGTGCCGCACCACAGCCGACTGCAAACTCATTCCCAGTGTACCTCTTCGTACTACTTCTCTATCTCCTGCTCCAGGACGTGGGAAGAAGAGAGATCCTCGAAACGAGGTTGAGCCGAATGATATTTCAAAGAAGACTATCCCCCAGTCTTTTCCTTTCTTCTCTAATTGACATTTGATGTGTCTTTTATTTTCAGGAGTCATTCCTTGTTTGACGGCTGGGGAGAGGACCTTTTACGATCATTGAGTTTTCGATCACATATCAGAGAGGTAAGCAAGAAAAGGAACACTCAATTTTGGTTGATCTTCCTTCCGCTTTTATCAGTAGAATGCGTAAATGTCAAAGAAAAGGTGCCATTCCTTTTCTAACTCTTCTTTGTTCGTTGCAGTTCTCTTACGGGAAGCTGATCGATGAGGATTCGACAACTTCAGAATCGATTTACTTTATAATAAAGGTAAGCAGTCGATCTGAGGGAACTCAATGTTTACTTTTGCTCGAATGTTTATTTGTTGTATTTAAACCAGTCATCCTTACAGTAAAGAGATACCATATGGCTTTGTCATGAAATTGAGAAATAGCAGTTCACCACTTTAACTCGTAAATCATGTTTTTAATAAGAAAGGCCAAACGATAAGGGAAAAGTTTGTTTTAAAATTAATTTCTTGTTTGTACTCGAGTATTAGGTTTGTTTTTGTTTTGCGGGAGGCGCGGTGGCTTAGTAGCTAACTCTGGGTGGAGAGGTCTGGATTCGAGACTAGGCCAAAGGGAGTTTGGGACTGTGAAGTGAACTTGGGTAAGGCACTTCACTCTCACGGTTCCCTTCCCCCACCCCCCACCCCCCATCCCCTATTTCCGAGTACAGATGAGTAGTAGAGAACTGTCAAAGGAACCTGACGGAACGCTGTCTATGAACCAGCATCCTCTTCAGAAAGAACAGGTAGATACCCGATCGCGAGACACGAGTTCCTTTACGTTTCATTTCCTTTTTTATCTGTTGCTTTGTTTTGGTAGGGAAAAATAGAGATGTTGCGTCGTGTCGACTTGCAAGCTGTTCTGAAATCTGACGTCACAATCGACTTATACAAGCATCGACCGCTTCCTCGTCCAATAGCATCACTTCCTCGCAAGAAGGGGTCCAATACATGCTACATCAACGTGGGCTCATTACAACCAGGGGATTCGTGGGTAGGTACTTCATGTAAATGAATGAGCAAAGAGTTGGTTTTGGGGTCCCATCGTAAATGTATGACTGCGCGAAAAGAGTTGGATTTTAATGCTTTGGCATTAAAGGTGAGATAAAGGTGGACGAGAAACTCAAGAAACTTCCCTTAAAAGAGGTGTCCTTACAATGACGTTAAGAGGCCAAAAAAGAGGTATAAAGTTTGCGTATGTGTGGTTAGGATACAGCTATAATAGTGACTCCATATTGTCCTTTCGAGCTGTCAGAACCTAGCTGTCACACAACCACACTATCAAGTAACAAATAATTTTTTAAATCGTGTAACGTTTTTTTAAGCTTGACAGAAAAAAATAAATGTCAAATCAACAGAGCACCCGTAATGAAATAGACTTCGGTACGAACAATTCTTCTTACATCAACCTTTCCTGTACTTTCGTTTCCTTCACATAACATGAGAACGTTTTAAATTTGTTTAGTAATTCTCGTGCGTCGCTGGAAATTACATATGTTTCCCTATAAAATTTTTTACGCGGGAAATTACCTTATGGTTGACCAAAATTGGACTGCTTGCGCATGCTCGACATTTGCCCTCCGTGTTGTGCATATCCGATGCTCATTAGCTGTGATTAGCAAGCCTATTCATCAGTTATTCTTCTGCTCCAGGATCTAACGACCATGGGAACTGCTGACCAAGAAGCTGGCCCGGGGAATATTCTAGTCAGCGCTGGAGTTCGAGTTTTAAAAGTTCCCAAGAGGAGAGTTATCGAGTTAAGTCCTAGAGGACACATGGAGACATTTGAAGAAAATTTTAACCCCAAACACAGGTTAGTAACAATAAACCCAGCTACAATTCTAATTCTAAACGCTGTAGTCAGGGTGGTTCATTTATTTATATACATGGTTCCTCCACTGATGATATTTACTCCCATGTTGGCTGGAAAGAATGAAATAAAGGCTACCTTAAGAGATATCACGTTTCGAAAGAGAAAAAGCAATTTCTTTAAACAAAGAAGGGCCTTTCGGTTTCTCTTAAAATGTGACTACCCCGCGCGAGCGCATACAGCTAAAACTACGTCATCCAAAACTTAACCCAGACATCCTTGTATCATTGAGTTTTAGTGCACTTTTAGCCTTCAAAGCTGAGAGTCTTTTAAAGCTAGGGTATGGAAATTTTAGCTTCGTAGTCAAGTTTGCGAATGAAGTTTCATTGATAAATCCATAATTTTAGCCTGAGTATTTCGTTATTTTTCACGTAGATGCCTATCGGACGAGGAGCTTTATCGAGATTATCTGGCCGCCGAGGCTTGGTTAGACTACAGAAAGAAAGTTGTACGGAATGTTATGGACTCCAAAGCGGGGCGCTTTATTGCCCATGTTTCTGCCACAGAAAAGGGATCCTCAGGCTGGACGACGTGGCCTGGGAGCAAGCCTGGAACGTGATTTTACGAACAAAAATATTTAAACTGAATGAAAAGAGCTGCTTTAATGATCTAACGCGTACGAACGATACCCTCTGTCCCGACTTCTCTGGAAGAGTCTGGCCATAACAAAATCATGCCTCGCATATGCGAGCAGAGAAAGATATTGAGGGGTCAAGCTACAGCCGTCACTGTCACACAATGTCGGTGGGGGGAATTCACCGGTGTCTTCCGACGTTGCTTGACAAAGAGATGGAAATAAATTATTTCTTAAAGGCATTAAATTGACATAGTTATTTTTATTTCACTAGTTTATCTTTTTCTTTGGTTGTTCAGTCCACCCCAATGTTATTATTGGCAGTTCAAGACATCGGAATATCGCACAATCTGTCCAACTCTTGGCCTTATAAAGGGAGGGGAGGGGAAGAGGTTTTGATGGATAGATTGAGGGATCTGCGGGTTTGCCTCAACATATGAACGGATTACCGATTATGGATTGTGGATCGCATGCTCAGTGTTCTCCTTATTTGCCATAAGGCCTTTGCCTTATGTTTCACGTACCGTCAGACTTCAACGATGAGAGAAAGCAAAAAGGCCTCTCCTGACCGATAGACCCTGACTAGTGAGCAATTCCTTTGCGATGTTATAACGTTACTTTCTCAAACACAAAGGCAGAAAACTTCGTGTAAAACCTTAGAACTTTCCAGGACAAAAGCAAAAAAGGGCAAATTATTCCTCGAAAACTTTTATATTGACGCGGATCGGGATTTGAAAGAAAATAACTTCCGTTCAACGGGTCGGGCAGAATAATAGCCTGGATCGGCGGACTTACATACCCCTAATCACGCCGTTTCCTCCCCTAAAATAGTCTTCCTTAACTCTGTAAACCCTACACTGGACGATCGGACAGGTTGCTCACACTAACTGGAAATGTTTTGTCGTTTTGGTTGTTTCTTATTACAAAGTAAAATCATCAAAAGTGTTTTTTATAATTTTATTTCACCGTTCAGAAAAAAAGTCTCAATGAGTTGCACAATGATGAACCGTTAACAGCTCGATTTTTAAAGATGACTTATTTTATGTGTATTTTTTATATGACTTAAGCATCAATTGCCGTGCATTACTATTTGACTGAGTAGCGAACATCTGAACATAACAGATAGTTCGTCGCCCCCCGGAGGCTGGGAGCGACGATAAGCTGAATTCTGCACGCCTTTTGATTTGTTCTCTCTACTAATCTATTGGAGGACAGACGCATAGATGACGTCACCAATAACAAATATTTGCTTTTTTATTACATAAAACAAATAGACTGCATTTTGAAGTGGGTCTGTTCAGTAATAGATGACAGAAGACATCCATTTATGATAAAAACGTCAGCGACACACTCGGTTGCTCCTTATGCATCACTTTTTTGTTCTTGCCACATTTTGACGTCTGATCTATGATCTATCACTGAGCAGACCCACGGCAACATGGGAGCTATTTGTAAATTACTCTTCACAAACGAAATCACTTACACAACACAAGAAAACAAGAACATCGAAAACAAGTTAAAGTTGAGGGAACTTCATTTGAGGAATCTTTCTAACAACATGAGCGTAATTACTTTTTGTATTCTTCTAAAAGAGCCAGGATCTTTGTAAAATTCTTGTCCTTCGCGATATCATAAGCTGTTTTTCCTGTTTCATCTTCTATAGTTGGATCTGCTCCCTGTTTAGAGAGAGAATGAAAATGTTATGCAGTGGATATCTGGCTCGCTGAGTACGTATACTGGATCTTTGTATGTACCTCTTCTCAGGGAAGGAGTTTTGAGGGCAAATAAGAATGTCAATGTGAGGTCTACTTTGAAGCCGTTCCTTGGGTTGTCGATCGGAACGTAATGTTACTCTCAAAAGAAGTTTCTTCTGAGGGAGAATTCGACCCTCATCCGAAGATAACACCTTTAAAAACGCCACAGACCTTTACTGCGCAACCTCAACCGGAAATGCTCTAAGGTCATGGTCTTAATGACCAAAATTATTTAGCTTCCTTTTTCTCTGTTATTAGTGGTATTATTTGAAAATGACCACTCGGCGAAAATTGCTTGATGTCCTCTTGTGGCTTGCTCAAGGTGTTTAGTGTGTAATCGGGATGTGATGGCAGCCCGAATGAAAAGTAAAGAAAGGTTCAGCCGAGTAGATCGTAACCCGTCCCAAACCTCACTCCTCTATTTCTTTTTGCGTTAGCGCCACGCCCCTCCACCTAGCCCTGTTTAGTAACTGAACGCCTGGTTAATCCTATTGTTTAAGCGGACCATTCAACGCAATGCATAAAAATCATGCACCATCTACCTGCCCTCCACCCCTAAAAATCTGCGCTTTAAACACGTGTCTAAGATTGTACCTTCTACGGATTGAAGGATATGGAAAAAAATTGGATAGTTGCCTGATCAGTCTTTGAAATGATTCTGTTTAACCCATTACCGCCCATTAATGACCAGGAGAAAATTTCTCCGTACAGTAGTGATACAATATCAAGCACACAAGTGATGAGAATAAAGTAAAATATCAATTAGGGGATTATTAGTTGATCAAATACCAAATTCTCCAAATTTATATCATAAGAATTGTATGTCAGACAGTAAAGAGAATTACTATTGCGATCATGGGAGTTTAAGGGTTAATTTCGAGCACATTTCCGCATGGAAAACACAAATTACCTTGCAACATTTACATCTGTCGGTTCAGCAAGATAACACACCCACCTCTTTCAAAAGAAAAGCTGCCGTGGGAAGGTGATCTTTATCAACTGCGGCCATCAGTGGAGTCATACCATCCAGGTCTTGGAACTGGAGAGAGAGGAAACAGGTTTTTAAAGAGAAACAGAAATAAAAATCACGCCTGTATCATGAACTATTGACGAGAATGAACATTAGGCTTTTTAAGTTGAGAAGATGGATGACTGTACTCCCTTCTAAAAATACAACTGCGTACCATGGTAATTAATATTGTTTATTTAAAACTAGTGAGGGTACCTTTGCCCTTTTGCTTGAGGTAGGTTGTCTTTCATTACCACGTGGTGTTTTTAGATCACCATGAGGGTGTTGAAAAATGAACTCCAAACCAACCGTTACGAACAAAAGCGGAAAGCGTGGAATGAATATTGATAACCTCAAAACGGGTTAGCATTTGACATTAGGAAACATGTTACTGGACATCCTCAGAAGACTATGTGTTTTCAGATTAAATTAAGGCATGATTTTCCGCGATAACAGCTGCTCGGGTCAACTTACACACCAAGTAATAATAAAGTACTATTAAATGTGTCTTCCAAGGGGGTCTGTTTGGAAATAGGATCTAAAGCACGCGAGCCGGCGGGCTTGGTACAAGCAGGATAGCGTATAACAGTCATAACAAGACTTGGCATTTTCCGTTCAGCTGTCGGGTCTATATTATGATATTTATAATAGTAATTGAACTGAGTGGTGTGTAATTTGGTCTGAAATAATATGCGTGATTTCAAAATTGATTTGAAAGTTTGATTTCAGACAAAAATTGCACGACACGAAGTTCAGTTACCACTTTATTACATCTATTTTGAAATCGCAAAATTCAGTTGCTCGGATAAAGGATTTTTGGTCTTTACAAATGCTTGTTGATCCAGTGGTGAGCTGATTTGTAGAAAGTTGCAAAACTTGTGTTTCAATTGGATTGATTTCTTTAAACAAGCAATCGGTTGTTGTATTTTAAAATCTTCCTCATTGGCTGATAAAAAGATGCGATTTAAAGCAAAAAATTGGTGCGATTCGTGAATAAATCGTACCAATGAGAGCCAATCAGATTACAAGGATCACCAGTGCTGTCAAAATGGATGTAATAATGTCTGGTATCTGGCGCCGTCCTAAACTATATTTAGCAAGGTGAAACAGGAGAATTAATTATTTGCTGGCAGGATGAATTATAACATCTCTAAAAGAGGAAAAGATAAACCCAGAGGGCGATGGCGAATTTCTTCCGTCAAGACTTGACAAAGGAGTCGGCTGTAAATGTCATGATTAGGCAAAGATATAATCATGGTTCCAAAACCACCATATGACTGTATTTATAAAATATGTTCTTACATCAATGATGGCCATGTTGTCTAACAGAAATCTAACGATCGGAACTTTTCCTGCATCAGCGGCGTAATGGAGAGCATTTCGCCCATGTCTCACCTCAGCGTTGATTTCAGTTCCCTGCGAAAGAATACTTCGTGAGATCGTCACCGCTCCAGGCACGAGGACTGGGTAAGATAGAAGAAGGGAGAGTTCGAGAGAGGGGAGGGACGGGCCATATCATTTGACCTCGGTCAACAATACTCACCACTTAAAAAGATACCCCCTTGCCTTCTGTGCAAAGCTGTTCAGCGTCCTGATGTTAAATTTCTCCCCATACGCCTAAAAGCTCTCATTTGTGAAATATTCTAGCAGACTACTAGTACAGTTTCGCTTCTTCCAAGCTATCGCCCGACTTTCCTGCGCTGTGACGATTTTTCTATTACCAGGCATCGCTCCCAAGAGCATGCAACATACTGTTGTGATTCTTTACCCAAGACATCGACACTGGTTTTAGTTTCAAAGCACTAGTTTTACTTTTATACTAACAAATAGCCAACAGAAGCGAAGCCTGCATAGTGACTTAACGACTTCACGGCTTTTATCTAGACTGCACCCCTTTAGTTCTGCCTAGCTCTGGAGAACTCACCGGCCTTCTTAGATGTTTCTCGACATAAATTAAATCCCCAGTCTGAATGGCCTGGATAAACTGTTCGCTGGCGCTCATGGTTCAAGCAGACTGTCAACTGGCTTCAAAGTAGCTACAGGACACTTATGGATATCAGCGAACAAACTAACAGATGTATTCACGTACAGACTCTTTGGCTGAATTCTTAACAATGTTAATTATCAAATTCTTAAGCTCGGGTCATGCGTGTTGGCAAACGCACTGATCCGTTCAATTTTGATTAATTATCAAGATAAGAGACTTTGTTAAAAACTTTGTCTGTTTTACTCAAAGCGCCGATGGGGGGTTTATTGGGTTCTGTTACCGTAGGCGCAAACAAACAAACAGATTTAAAACGCATCTCAATAAAAAGTTGTAGATCTTGTTACGATGAGCTTATAGTGTGTTCTGTGGAGGGAAAATACGTTCGTTTTAACAAGAGAAAAAACCCAATAGAGTTCATTAAAAATTTCGTTATCAACAGTCACAATGGGTCCCAGGTGGCTTATCTCGCGTCGTTTTCGAAGTGTTTCTTTTGTGAC